CACCAAGTTCGTAGAGAACGAGGGGAGGTAAAGACCAGACATGGTGCCAGAGGGAGCCGCCGGACACGGGAGGACAGTGGAGAAGTGAGCAAGGACAGGACCCCCAAAGGGGTCTGCCAGAGAGACTGCAACTGGCCGACCAAGCGACGTGAGTGTGGTGCGGTCTCGAAAGAAGGAGCGAGAAGCCCTCGAGTCAAGGGTGAAGGTGAGGGAGGCCGAAGCCGACTCGGTACCTGAGAGCGCGGACTCACCAGCACCTGAGGAAGCAGACGCACTAGCACCTAGAGCAGCAGCCTCGCTAGCACCTAGAGCAGCAGCCTCACCAGTACCTAGAGCAGCAGTCTTAATGCCCGGGTCGGACGGGAAACACCGGTAACAGTCACCCTCATCACTAATAGTCACAGCATACATGGAAGCAAGAATAGCATCAAAGTCCAGGTCAAAGATAGCTACTCCCACCCTAGACAGCTCACCCCAGCGGGGGATCTCCGTGGCCTCCGGGAACTGGTGACGCCAAGCGTCCGTCAGGCGGCCAAAGCAGCGCTGGGTGGAGTGCGCACCCCCACACTGCTCACCCGCGCGGTCGCCGGTGCGTAGGACGTAGGTGCACGGACCAGTACCCCCACCCCGCTGGCGTGCAGCGTACCACTCACGGAGCTGCTGAGGGGGGGGGATGTCACGAGTGCGCTGGTGCTGCTGGCGCTGACCACCACCGGAGCCGACTCTCTGCGCAGCGCCACCCCGACCAGCTCCACCTCCTCCGCCACCGCCTCCTCCACCGCCGCCACCTCCGCCACCTCCGCTCCCACCGCCACCGCCGCCGCCTCCGCCTCCATTTCGCCGCCGACATCTCCACCCCCGCCACCACCCCCACCGCCACCCCCACTCCCTCCGCCGCCTCCACCGCCGCCTCCACCGCCCCCGCTAGCTCCTCCAGCGCCCCTGTCCCCCTTGCCGTTGCTAGGGCGGCGTCTCCCGCTAGGGGTAGACGCCGCACCGACCGACTCAAGCCCAACGAGGTCGGCCGCAACAGCAGAGGCAACAGAGGGCAAAAGGGGGGAGGGGGAACACCCCTCAAAGATGGGGGTGCGAGGGTCACCACGAGAGGCTCCTACAGCGACTATGCTCTTCTCCGCTGCTAGGAGGGCCTTCTCGAGGAGGTCAACGGTGAGAGTGGTGGGGCAAACCGAGAGGAAGTGGTCCCTGATTACGCGAAGGGAGTCAGGGAGGCGGGTGACGATGTAGTAGAGAGTGATGTACATGGGGGGGGGGGGGGTTCTTGGCGCAGAACTCAGCAGGAAGCGCAGCGCGGTAGCGAGCGTCACTAGTGCGGAGGTGCGTAATGAGGTCAGCAAATGTGGGAAAGGCAGCAAGGTCAGGGAAGAGGTATGGTAGCATGAGGCGGCTCAGTGCAGCAGTGGCAGGGGAGGAGTAGCATGCAACTAGAGCGTCGTACAGGGTCTGAGCACTCTTGTACTGGCTAAAGTGCGCACGCTCAGAGGTAGGCAGGTGGCGACGCACAGCAAGACGTGCAGCAGCATCGCGTGTGGCCCACTGTGAGCAAACAGTGGCGTCAGCATTAGCAGCAGGGGCAGGAGAGGCACCAGAGGTGGGGTCAAAGAGTGAGAGACCGTCTGCCCTATCGCACTGTAGGAAAAGCTGTAGTTCATCTACCCAGACGTCAAAGTCAATGGCCCGACCCTCAGCGTCAAAAGCGAGGACACTAGGGGTAGCCATGACAGCAGTAGACTAGTAGCGCGAACAGTGGGGTAAGGGCAGTGCAGTGACAGAGGCGCTGCTCTTACCGGATAGGGCGGCTCGGGCGGCTCGGTGACTCGGCAGGAACTGCAGCTCGGCGGCTCGGCGACTCGGCGGCTCGGGCGGCTCGGGCGGCTCGGCGGCAACTGCGGCCCGGCGACTCGACGGCTCAGGTGGCGCGGCGGCTCGGGCGGCTCGGGTGGCGCTGGCGGCTCGGCAGTAGCTCGGCGGGGCCGCGTGAAGGCGGGGCCGGGGCCGGGAAGGGCGGGCGACGGGGCCAGCAGAGGCTGGGCCGGGGCCGGGAAGGGCAGTGCCGGTGCCGAGAAGGGCGGCGTCGGGGGCCGCAGAGGTAGGCGACGGGGCGAGCAGAGGCGGGGCCGGGTCGGGAAGGGCGGCGTCGGGGCCGGGAAAGGGCGGCGCCGGGGCCGCAAGGTAGGCGACGGGGCCAGCAGAGGCTGGGCCGGGTCGGGAAGGGCGGCGTCGGGGCCGAGAAAAGGCGGCGCCGGGGCCGCGGGGTAGGCGACGGGGCCGCAGAGCGGCGGATCGGGGCCAGGAAGGGCGGCGTCGGGGCCGGGAAGGGCGGCGCCGGGGCCGCAGGGCTAGGTGACGGGGCCAGCAGAGGCAGGGCTGGGCCGGGAAGGGCGTCGTCGGGGCCCGGGAAGGGCAGCGCCGGGGCCGCGGGGTAGGCGACGGGGTCGCTAGGGCGGCAGATCGGGGCCGGGAAGGGCGGCGCCGGGGCCGCAGGAGTAGGCGATGCGGCCGCTAGGGCGGCGGGACACAGCCGCTAGGGCGGCGGGACGGGATGGGGCCTCGAGGGTGACGTGACGGGGCCTCTAGCGCGACGCGACGGGGCCGCTAAGGCGGCGCGAGAGGGTCGAGAGAGGGGAGCGCGACTCGGGCAGGAACTGAGCGCGCCCCGGGCAGGAAAAAAAAAAATCGAATTGGTGGGCCCTAGGAACAGTTCCCACGAGGGAACCTGCTCGATACCATGAGAAAACTAGAACGAGAATGAATGCACTATGAAAGAGTTGGGTACAAGTACTAACCCTAATTGGGTTGTACCCCATATGGGCTACCCCACTACAGCCTACACAAAAGCATAAGCTATAATGTTCTGACACCCACCATTCGCCGTAGATGGCACGGTGTTGCCCGTCGTTGTAGTTGGGGTGCTTTCCACAGTAGTCTCTGGATTCACAGATTCGCGCGGTCGGAAAATCGCGTCGGCCAGATCATACCACGCCGGACATCCTTCCGCACGACCCTCGCCAGAGCGCTCCAAGACCTTGCTCCAACGAAGCCATGGGGCTTCCATGCGGCGGAGCTTCGGTCGGAGAGCGGAAACCGCGTGGCGCCACCTCGGATTACAGGCGAGCAGGTTGCGATGCAGCTTGGCGTGCTGGCTCTGGCCTTGCATTCCGCGCATGTTATTCCAGTCATCGTGCATGTCGTGACGCTCCTGCATCAGCAAGAAATCCTCTTCTTTGGTCCAACGCGGCAAAGTGGTCCGGGTAGCGGTAGATGTAGTAGCGGTCGCTGACTCCGTGTTAGTACGTCCTAAGTTGGGGTCGAGCTCCTCGTCGTCATTGGTGGAGCATATTTCGGGGGCCTCCTCGCCTACCCCGTAGTCATCGTTGATACCATAAGGCGAGTCTGGGCGGGGAAGGTTGTTAATCCACCAGTCTGGATTACGCTCCCACAGGTTAATGTGCGCACGGGAAGACTCCCCGCGAGTTCTGATGGGTGGAGGCTGAGGGTCGCTGGTAGATTGTTGTGTATCTGGGCGAGTGCCTGGGGTGCCGCCATTGTCGCTAGACTGGGTGTTCAGGTCGTTGCTATCCCTGTAAGCCATAATCTGTTTTTGCTTGGACGAGTTTGGCAATGATGTTAAAAATGAAGCATGCCATGTGTGATGTTGATAGGGAGTAGAACAATGTTCCGCAGTCAAGACGGGGTGGCGAGTCGCGGATTGGTTTCGCGTGACATTGCACGTGCCGCACTACACAAGTGTGACCCCGAAAAGTGGTCATGTTCAACGGCGCTGAAAGCGCCGTGCCAGTCGTCCTTGTGACACGTTGAGTCGCTTGGGTATGTTGGCCAAGTCGCATAGGTACTGTAGCGCTGACGAGTCGACAAAGTGGTCGACTCTCGATTCGTTTGCACGTCGGAAAGTTGTCTAATGCTAAACCGGCCATCAAACCAGCCATCAAAATTTTAGCAAGTGGCCAGATTGTGCGAAATTAACGAAATACCTTACGAATGTCGTGAATGTGTAACCTTCGCTAGATCCGGCCGGCCGGATTTTTCCGACAACGGATCTGACGCACCCTTAGATCACCTCCTTCAACCTCGGAGATTGGCGAGCTACGGTAAGTCAACATTTGGTACCCGATATGCCAACATTCGACAGAGTTTTGCGAGATTGAAGAAAATTTTGATGGTGCGACATTGAGAGTGTGTGACCTATAAGCAAGCAATTTGTAGGGCTTCTAGCAAATCTAGAAGCTGTTTTCACATCATGCAGACATGCAAATCTAGCTCTACAAATTTTCCTCACTGTCAAAATTGGTCCTGTGAAGAAAAAGAACCTAGCCAATGCTGTTTACAAACAGGACATCATGGTTGAATGAAAAAATGGCTTCGATGGATCGGCTGCTATTGGTTGGAAGGCATGTTACCAAATGATGCTAGGCCAATGGACAGTGCAGATTGATCGATAGATGACGATGTGGGATTTGATGTGCTTCTTATAATCCCTGAAATGAAGAGAGGAGAGAAGGAGTACCCGATGAGAGAAGGATTGGGGCCCGGAGGGGCAGAAACTGAAGTGATGGTGAGATGGGTGTGGGACGAAGAAAGGTTGAACGGGTTGTAACATAAGGGGTAGTAACATGAGGGGTGGTAACATGAGGGGTGGTAACATGAGGGGTGGTAACACGAGGGGTGGTAACACGAGGGGTAGTAACATGAGGGGTGGTAACACGAGGGGTGGTAACATGAGGGGTGGTAACATGAGGGGTAGTAACATGAGGGGTGGTAACACAAGGGGTGGTAACACGAGGGGTGGTAACACGAGGGGTAGTAACACGAGGGGTGGTAACACGAGGGGTGGTAACATGAGGGGTGGTAACAGGGGTGGTTAAGCTGTTAGATTCATAATGATTCGAATTTGCACCTTTTGCATATGGCAGGAGTATAATAGGAATAAATTACTATCCACATATATTGAACATTCGGGAAAATCAGGGGGTGTACTTACCCGAGACATTCGAGATGGTCGTAGGATTCTTCTGGGCAGAAAATGCTTTTAGCTGCCCCCCTGCGACTCCTGTGAGCAAAGTTCTGAAAGCTGCCCGTTGCTCCTTTGCACTACCCGTACTCTTGAGGGCAGCTTCGAACGAAGCGAGGGCCTCTGGTGAAATGGAGAGTGAAAGGAGCACCTGGGAGGACAAGCGGAAGGGAACCGGGAAAAGGGGAAGGGGAGGGGGGAAGAGGAAGGAGAGCGAAAAGGCATGTGTATGTATAGGACATGAGGAGATTCGGGTAAGCCAGAGTGGAAGGGAAAAGGGAGTGAGAAAGGGAGTGTGAAGTTCCCGGGAGAAGAGAAAGGAGGATCGTGCTATAGGTTGCACGAGAGCAGAAGGGTGCTAAGTGTTGCATACCTCTCTAGGAGCAGAGGTTAAAGGGCCCAAACGAAGGTAAATATCCCTCAATAATGCCACAATATGCGCCTGAATCCCCGCATTAGACTCCAGCGTCAGCGCCTGCACCGCCGCTGCAAACATGGTCCGGCCGACCATCTCCCGAAGCTGCGCGGGAGGCCCGGAAGCCGGTGCAGCAGGTTCGGCGAGCAGCTCCGGCATGTGCACGAGGCCTGAGTTGAAGAGGACAGCCTTGTGAGAGGCGTCGCTGTCGGGCCAGTCCATTGCTGCCATTGCCACTCGGATGCACGCTGCTGCTGCCTCTGGGTGGTGCTGTAAGAGGAAGCTGTGTGGGGAAGGGGGGTTCAGACAGGTAGAGGGGGGTTAGCGGGTTTACTGATCCGTCGCTGTCGGGCCAATCCATTGCTGCCATTGCCACACGAATACACGCTGCTGCTGCCTCAGGGTGATGCTGCAAGAGGAAACCGAGGGGAGGGAGAGAGGAAAACAGAAGAGCGCACGGAAGAGGGCGGAGGGAGACAGGTTAAAAAACAGAAGAGAAACAGGATCGGACAGGGAAATGAGGGAAGTTAGAAGGATTCAGAAGGAAGGCTGAGCTGCGCAGCAATGGCAGTGAGGGAAGTGCAGTGGTGGACTTGAAGAGGTGCGAATCCGTAAGCTGCAGCAAGCTTGAGACACGTCTTGAAACTCACTGCAGCAAGCTTGAGACACGTCTTGAAACTCACTGCAGCAAGCTTGAGACACGTCTTGAAACTCACTGCAGCAAGCTTGAGACACGTCTTGAAACTCACTGCAGGAAGCTTGAGACACGTCTTGAAACTCACTGCAGCAAGCTTGAGACACGTCTTGAAACTCACTGCAGCAAGCTTGAGACACGTCTTGAAACTCACTGCAGCAAGCTTGAGACACGTCTTGAAACTCACTGCAGCAAGCTGGAGACACGTCTTGAAACTCACTGCAGCAAGCTTGAGACACGTCTTGAAACTCACTGCAGCAAGCTGTTAGCTGCGGTTGCCACCGAATGCATGTCCATCCGATCGTCACCACCAGCACCAGCAGCACCAGCAACAGCACCACCTGCAACACCACCACCACCACTTACCTTACCACAAACCATACTCACTGCAGCAAGCTGTTTGCCGCGGTTGCCACCGAATGCATGTCCATCCTCTCATCACCACCAGCACCAGCACCACCAGCAGCACCCGCAATGCCACCACCACCAGTGACACCAGCCATGAGCGCAGAAGCCGTGGCTTGAAACGAGGCAGCCTGTAACGAGGATGACTGAGGCAAGATAGGGAAGAGAGCCAACAGGCCGCAGGTCTCTCTTGTCAGGTCCCTTAGAATTTTCTCGTTAAACAGCTCATCCTTTAACCCTCCTCTCCTCTCCTTCTCACTCTCACCACCACCAGAAACAGCAGCAAGCGCTTTACCCCCTGCTGCTTCCCCTCCCCCTCCTCCCCCACACAGCCCTTCTTGCAGGAATCTCTGCCACGTGGCAGTCAGCCATTGTTCGCAGTGAAGAACGATCGGTGGCAGGAGCGTGCCGAGCCAGAGAGGATAGAGGCTCGGCGGACAGGATTTGACCAATGGGAGCAGGACGAGCTTCTGCAGCAGTCGCAGGTGCCGAGCCTCCATGCTAGCCACGGAATCGGCCAGTGCGGCCCGAACCTCCAGCACGAACTGCTGCTGCTGGGGTGAGACCGAACCTAAGGATTGCAGGTTCGTGACGGGAGGCTCGGGAAGGGAGAAAAAGGCTGCTGGGGCGTTTGCTGCTGCCATACCAAGGAAGCCATAACTGTTTGGGAGGAGGGCGGAGGAGGAGGAAGACCGGGAAAAACAGAACTAGAGTTGATTCTCTAATTAACTGAAAAGCAGAGAGCAGAGAGTCCACATTCACCTACCAGCACCACAAAATGTAGCAGCCCTAAAGCTACAGATACTGTAACAGGTTCGGAATTGAAGGGGGAAAACAATCCGCCCACCCACCTGTTGTCCTGCACACACTTGAGCCAATTCCGCCTCATTGCCAAAGCCATAGCCTCCCCTTGCACACCAGCACCACAACCAAGTCGCCCTGAAGCTACAGATATGGTAACATGTTTGGCATTCAGGGGGGGAAACAATCCACCCACCTGTTGTCCCGCACACACTTGAGCCAATTTCGCCTCATCGCCAAAGCCATAGCCTCCCGCTGCCTCTCCCCTGCTCCTCCCCCAACCCCTCCGCCTCCCCCTCCGCCTCCCCACGCCCCCCCTCCTCCCCCGGTCCCCCCCAGCAGCAGCGGCACGCCCTCCTGCTTGCCTGACACGCCTGCCTGCCCCAGCACTGCTGCCTTCTCCTGCTGCCCCACCAGCAGCGCTGGGGCGAGGGTGGGGGGAAGGGAGGCGAGCACCTGAGGGGACCAGAGGGCGTGGAGGCAGTGCAGCAGCTGGGATGGAAAGGGGGGCGGAGGAAGCGGGGAAGGAGAGATATAACATTGAGAAACTTGGGTGGTAGGTGGTTTAACCCCCAAAGAATCAACAGCACGCCCTCCTGCTTGCCTGACACGCCTGCCTGCCCCAGCACGGACACCTTCTCCTGCTGCCCCACCAGCAGTGCTGGCGCGAGGGTGGGGGGAAGGGAGGCGAGCACCTGAGGGGACCAGAGGGCGTGCAGGCAGTGCAGCAACTGGGGAGGGGGGAGGGGAGGGAAGGGAGATACGGCGGTGAGAAGCGGTGAGCAGTGGTGAGAAGCGGTGAGCAGTGGTGAGAAGTGGTAATATGAATGTAGGTGAGAAAACAGAGGTGATGCTTGGGGAGGGAGGAGGGGGTTTAAGGTTTAGGGCGTGCAGGCAGTGCAGCAGCCGGGAGAGAAGGGGAGGGGAGACATAGTACCCTCCCCCGAATTATCTTTTCCCATTCTCCTCCTGATCAGTCACTTAGTCATCTCGCTCTGAGCAGGGGAGGTACGAGCCAGTGTAGATGCAGACACACACAGTGCCTCACCCCCTTCCCTCCCTCCGTCTTCCTCCTGCCCCACCTCAGAAGCACCCCATTTTCATAAATCAGCTCAATTTGAACATCGTCTTACTCTGAGAAGAGGCGGCATGATTCAATGCAGGTGCGGACTCACACAGTGCCTCACCCGCATCCCACACCCCTCACCTTCCACCCTTCCCACCTCAGAAGCACCCAATTCACATGAGTCTATTCAACTTCATCTTACTCTGAGCAGGGGAGGCACAATCCAATGCAGGTGCGGACTCACACAGTGCACCGCCCCTCCCCCTCCCCCTCCACTCCCGCTTCTTTCCCCCACAACCCCATCCGCCACCCCCACAACCCCAGGGGAAGGCGGCGGCGTCGCCGCCACTCCTCCCCCTCCCCCTGCTCCCCCTCCCGCTCCTCCCCCTCCCACTCCGCTCCCCCCGCCAACAGCAGCGCGGCGCATGATTCTCTCAAGAAGCATCGTGGTGTGGTAGACGGCCCAGAAGTCTGCTTCCTCCTGGGAGCCCGAGCTGGGGGAGTGGAGGAGGAGTGCTGCTAGGGCTTCCGGGGAGGAGAGGTAGCGCGCCTGCCACGTGGCATCCGCCCATTGGGCGCGGATGGGTGCTAATAGCCACTCTACCACGGCTGCTTCTTCACTGGGGCTGCGCTGGTGGGGAGGGGATTGAAATGGGAGCAAATGGGGAGGGGAGAGTGGGCGGGTGCGGGGGAGGGAAAGGGGATAGGGGGGGGTGTTTTTGAGTCAACTCAGTACATTCCATTGGCGCTAGCACTCGACCATGCCTGCTTCTTCACTGGGGCTGCGCTGCTGGGGAGGGGTGGGGGGGGATTTAGAGTAAACGGAAGAGGAGGGACAGTGGGGAGCCAGGGGCGGAGAGAGGGGGAGGAAGGTGGGAGGGAGGGAAATATGATCACTCACCCTGCAGCAGCAGCAGCCACGAGCAGCAGCGCTTCAGCGAGCAGAATGAGTTTTCATGCCGCACCGCACCTGAAAGCGTCTGCTGCACTCGCTGCACTGCACTTGCATCTCGCTCCCACACTCACTCACCCACTCATTCCTGCTCACTCACACCCTCACTCCCTCCCTCACTCACCCTGCAGCAGCAGCCACCAGCAGCAGCGCCTCAGCGAGCAGAATGATCTCCCCATGCAGCACTGCGCCTGACTGCGTCTGCTGCACTCGCTGCACTGCTGCCTGTTGCTGTTGCCGAATGCCCATCACCTGATCCACCATTGCCTGGAGTTGGAGGAGGAGAAGAGGAGTGGGGGTGTGGAGAACGGAGAAAGGGAGATTAGAGGAGGTATGAGACGTCTCAAAGATTGCCAGGCACTTCTGCAGTGCTGCCTGCTGCTGCCGGGTGTTCATCACCTAATCCACCATTGCCTGGAGAGGAGGGAAGGGGCAGAGGGGGAAAGGAAAGATCACAAGCTGTGAGACGTCTCCATGCTCTGCTGCATGCGCTGCAGTGCTGCCTGTTGCTGCTGCCCAATGTTCATCACCTGATCCACCATCGCCGGGAAAGGAGAAGGGGGAGGAAAGGAGGGGAACCAGGAATCGGAATACACATGTTGTGAGTGAGACGTCTCAACACCAGACTGGCTCTGCTGCACGCGCTGCACTGCTGCCTGCTGCTGCTGCCGAATGCCCATCACCTGATCCACCATCGCCTGGAGAGAGAAGAGGGGGAGGGTGTGAGTGAGAGGGAACGAGTGGTGAGACGTCTCAGAGCTTGACTGCACGCGCTGCACCATAACCTGAAGAGAGGATGAGGGGGGATGAGATCAAACAAACGAAAGAGGGGGAAAGGAGGACGGAAAGGGAGCAAAAAACCTTAAACCTAATGCTGCCTTGAGGTAATATCCCAAAGGCAATAATGCTTTGTGGTGGGACCTTGAGCATGGGCGCGAGAGCCACGTCAGCAGAGCGTGCCACTCTCAGGATGGACGTGCACACTTGCAGGCGGGGCAGGCGATTGGTTCTCACCTCACCCCTCACTGCGTCGCCTGAGGCGATACCAGGGGCCGTGTAACGCACCTTGAGCATGGGTACAAGGGCCACGTCAGCAGAGCGCGCCACTCTGAGGATGGACGTGCACACTTGCAGGCGGGGCAGACGGTCCTCACTGCGCTCCGGCCGCAGCATGGGCTCCACTCCCTGGCAGGGTTGGGGAAGGGGGAGGACCACAAGGAGATAGAGGGGGAGGGGCACACGGAGAGAGATAGGGAGGGAGAGGTGACTCTTCTTGCAGGCGAGGTAGGCGGTCCTCACTGCGCTCCGGGCAGAGCATGGGCTCCACTCCCTGGAGGGGCAAGGGGCGAGGGAAGAAAGGGCGGAAGACAGGAGAGGGGAGGGAACAAGAGGAGGGAGAGGTGACTGTTGAGGCTTGAGTCGGGAATAACAAGGGCGGCAGCAGGAGGAGGGGAGTGCTTGAGGAAGGGGCTGAGCGTGGTGACTTAACAAGGGGAACGAGCAGCTCAGAATACATACCAGGGGGGTGGGTGGCAGAGAGCTGAGGAGCTCGAAGAGCTTGGGAATGACGAGGGCAGCTGCGGGCGGGGAGTGCTTGAGGAAGGGGCCCAACGCGTCCAGCAGGTGCGCATGCAGCTCTATCAGCACGGGGTCATTCCACTGCACACACAACAGGCGTTGTAGCACACCTGGAGGGGAGGAACAGCAAAGAGAGGGGAAGGGGTGGGGGCAGGAGAGTGCTTGAGAAAGGGGCTCAGCCTCTCAGCGCGTCCAGCAGGTGTGCGTGCAGCTCTATCAGCACAGGGTCGCTCCATTGCACACACAGCAGTCGCTGCAACACACCTGGAGGGGAGGAATAGCAAAGAGAGGGGAAGGGGGGTGGGGGGGGAGGGGAGTGCTTGAGGAAGGGGTCCAGCTGCCCAGCGCGTCCAGCAGGTGTGCGTGCAGCTCTATCAGCACAGGGTCGCTCCATTGCACACACAGCAGTCGCTGCAACACACCTGTGGGGAGGAATAGCAAAGAGAGGGGAAGGGGGGTGGGGGGGGGAGGGGAGTGCTTGAGGAAGGGGTCCAGCTGCCCAGCGCGTCCAGCAGGTGTGCGTGCAGCTCTATCAGCACAGGGTCGCTCCATTGCACACACAGCAGTCGCTGCAACACACCTGGAGGGGAGGAATAGCAAAGAGAGGGGAAGGGGGGTGGGGGGGGGAGGGGAGTGCTTGAGGAAGGGGTCCAGCTGCCCAGCGCGTCCAGCAGGTGTGCGTGCAGCTCTATCAGCACAGGGTCGCTCCATTGCACACACAGCAGTCGCTGCAACACACCTAGAGGGGAGGAATAGCAAAGAGAGGGGAAGGGGGGTGGGGGGGGAGGGGAGTGCTTGAGGAAGGGGTCCAGCTGCCCAGCGCGTCCAGCAGGTGTGCGTGCAGCTCTATCAGCACAGGGTCGCTCCATTGCACACACAGCAGTCGCTGCAACACACCTGTGGGGAGGAATAGCAAAGAGAGGGGAAGGGGGGTGGGGGGGGGAGGGGAGTGCTTGAGGAAGGGGTCCAGCTGCCCAGCGCGTCCAGCAGGTGTGCGTGCAGCTCTATCAGCACAGGGTCGCTCCATTGCACACACAGCAGTCGCTGCAACACACCTGTGGGGAGGATTAGCAAAGACAGGAGGAAGGGTGCTTGATAAAGGGGCCTAAGGCGTCCAGCAGGTGTGCATGCAGCTCTATCAGCACGGGGCCGCCCCATTGCACACACAGCAGCTGCTGCGACACACCTGGTCACGGGAGAGGGGGGTGAGAAATCGGGTGGGGAAGAGCGAACAGGAGTGGGTGCGTGCAGCTCTATCAGCACGGAGTCATGCCACTGCACACACAGCAGCAGCCACTGTAGTACTTTTGGTAGAGTGGGAAAGCAAGATGAATGGGGAGAAGCGAGGAGGTGGCAGGGAGTGCAGCTCCAGCAGGGAGTGCAGCTCCAGCAGCATGGGGTCATGCCACTGCACACACATCAGCAGCCGCTGCAAGATGTCACAACCCACATACTCGTTACAAGCTACCCCACTCACCCTCTACAATGAGCCCCAGGTCGTCAGCAAGAATGGCGGGATTGGTGGAGTGAGCAGCGGCTGCTGCCATGACTGCATCAGGCACAGCAGTCATCACCGCATCTTCCAGCATTCTCGCTCCCTCCAACACTGCCACCACCTGGACGGGGGAGGGCGGGGGAAGTTTAGCCCTATGTAGGTTGAAGCATGCATGCATCGTGCCCAGCTGCTGCCATGACAACATCAGGCACATCTGCCATCACCGCATCTTCCAACTTGCTTCACTAACACCCCATGCGCCATGCCCACATGCCCACATGCAACATGCCTGATGCAACATGCCCCATGCCCCAAGGCACCCGTGCCCCATGTCCCATGCCCATGCCCCATGCTCCATGCCCCATACTCTATGCCCCAGGGCTTGCCTTGGGGGGCGGGGGAGCGGAGGTGGCAGCAGCAACCGCGGCTTCGATGCGAGAGGCCACCTTGGATGCTGCTATGAGCGGCTGCTGCTGTGTCACCAGCCGCACCACGTCCATCTGCAGGAGCGAGGGGTGGTTGGGGAGGGAGGGAGGAGAGGGATGGGGAGCGGCTGCTATGAGTGGCGCCATGCCCCACCTACCATCCCGAGAGGCCACCTTGGATGCTGCTATGCGCGGCTGCTGCTGTGTCACCAGCCGCACCACGTCCATCTGCAGGGGGATTGAGGGGGAGTGAAAGGAGAAAGGGAGGGAGGGAAAGGAACCTGAGTGGGGGAGGTGGGGAGAGAAGCCAGGGAGGAGACAGGGTTGCTATGAGTGCACAACTCACCACCCATCCATGTTATCACTCTATTTTCACTGCACTCACCAGTCGCCTCCTGCACTCACCAGTCGGCTCCTGTACTGCGCGTAATCTCCACTGTTGGTAAACTCCTCGTGCCAACCCTCCCTGTCCTCCCCATCATCCCCCTCCCCATCTCCTGGGCGTCTAGGAAGGTGATCCGCCAGCAGCCTCAGGCAGAACCAGGCAGTGCAAGCCAATAGTCCCCCCCATGCACTCACCAGTCAGCTCCCACTCCCACTAGTTACCTCCCACACTCACCAGCCGGCTCCTGTACTGCGCATAGTCCCCGCTGTTGGCAAACTCCTCCTGCCAACCCCCATCCTCATCCTCCTCTTCCTCGCCCTCCCCTGGGCGTCTAGGAAGGTGATCCGCCACTACGTCTAGCAGCCTCAGGCAGAAATCGGGCAGTGTGCAGTCCAAACCAGTGCAAGCCAGTGCAAACCAGTGCAAGCCACTAGCCCCTGTGCAGTGTGCACTTACCAGTCGGCTCCTGTACTGAGCGTAGTCTCCACTGTTGGTGAACTCCTCCTGCCACCCTTCGTTGTCGTCCCCATCATCCCCCTCCCCCTCCCCTGGTCGTCTCGGCAGGTGATCTGCCACCACGTCCAGCAGCCTCAAGCAGAAATCAGGCGGCACGAGAATCACTGCAGCGCGCTTGTTGTCCTTTCCGCCACTCGTGCTCTGTGCTGATTCCCTCAGTAACACCTGAGGGAGCGGGGAGGGAGTTTTGGTGGGTCACCCTGACTCATGTTTTCGAAGGGCTGCAGTAGTAGAGAGGACGCTTAAGCAAAGGAACAACAGTAAAAACTTGTGAAAAACGCAGATCTGAGAAACCCTTGACTTCCGAAAAGCCTCCTTTCCGCCACTCGTGCTCTGTGCTGATTCCCTCAGTAACACCTGAGGGAGCAGGGAGGGAGTTTTGGTGGGGGGAGGGGAGGAGGGGAGATGCGGGGTGGAGGGGAAGTGGGATGAGTTACCTAGATCCCAATGAATCCAGATATAACTAGGAGGCAGTGAGCCAGGACAAAGGTAGGTGCGTGCTAAGTGTTTGCTAAGTGCTTGGTAAGTGCTTGGTAAGTGCTTGCCAAGTGCTATGTAAGTACATTAAGTGGTGGGAGCTTACCAGCCAGAGTTGGAGCGCCAGGGCGTGCAAGGAGAAGCATTTGCACTCAAAGAAGCGAAGCATCTGCAGGCACGAGAGGGGAGCGGCAGCAGGAGGAAGGCGAGGGTGGGAGGAGAGGAGATAAGTAATTAGCAGAAAGAAGTGGATAGCAGGTGAGGACGAGGAGGACGGGGACCATCAGTGAATAAAACCGATTCCAGAAATGGGAAGCAAGAGATCGCACACCTCAAGTTGAGAGCAAGACAATATTCAGCAAGGATAATGGTTATTTATCTCCACAGACTGTTTCCGTGTCGTCTATATGCCAAACACTGTACTACTCATCGTGCGTAGCAAATTATCGTGTGAAAAGGAGACCAAAAACAAATTTAAAAAGCAAGGAGGCAATCAAACAAACATACAAACTCACTGTGTGGAAGAATTTGGCATATCTAGAATCATCCTGCTGTGCTGCTCTCTTTTGAGTAGACGCAAAAGTACTTTGCCATGCAGAAGAATCCTAGATGTGAAAGCGAATACTTACCGTGTGGAAGAACTTGGCATATCTAGAATCATCTTGCTGCGCTGCTCTTTTGAGATTCGACGGCGCAAATGCCACCATCGCCTCACACAGCCTTTCAGCAAACGCCACCTCCCCCTCATCCACCTCCCCCGCCCCCCCTCCTCCCCTCGCGCCCCCCCCTGCTGCCATCCCCCCTCCCTGCCCCGCTGCTTCCCTTGGAGAGGAAGCAGGGGCGGAACCTGTAGAGGTGGTGACGCGATCAAGGGAATTGTCGGCTGCAGAGACGAGGGAGTCGGCCACTGATGTCATGGCGGCGTTGAATGCCTCCTGGTCGTCTGAAGGGGCTCGCCTGAAGGGGGTTGCAGCAGGGAAAGTGGGGGGACGTGGGGGGGAGGGGGGGCGGGGGGGGTTGTGGGTGATGGTGAGGCGATTTAGTAGTCGACTCAAAAAGCCCCCCCGTTTCTTTTGGAGAGGAAGCAGGGGCGGAGGCTGTAGAGGTGGTGATGCGATCGAGAGAGGCGTCAGCTGCCGAGACGAGGGAGTCGGCCACTGATGTCATGGCGGCATTGAATGCCTCCTGGTCGTCCGAAGGGGCTCGCCTGAGGTGGGGGAGGGAGGGCAGGGGGGGAGGGAGGGTTACTACAAGGATTGCCATCCCCGTTGCCTGTCTGTTCCCCTGTTCTCCTTGGAGAGGAAGAGGGGGCGGAGCCTGTAGAGGCGGTGATGCGATCGAGGAGGCATCAGCTGCAGAGACGAGGGAGTCAGCCACTGATGTCATGGCGGCGTTGAATGCCTCCTGGTCGTCCGAAGGGGAGTGCCTGAAGGGAGTGAGCGGTTGAAGGGGAGAACAGCAGAGGGGAAAGAGGAAGAGAAAGGGGGCACACAGCAGCGGAGGTTAGATGGAGAAGGGGAAGCGAAAAAGAAAACTATTAACACAGAAATCACCTTCAGATAAAGCTCAAAAAACCCCGATCGATCAGCTTGAAGATAGAAAAATCACCTCAAAAACACCAGCCAGCCAACCAACCCTTGGCAAACACTCAAGCATCATTCACGGGTCACCCCAGATAGAACCGCCCTCGCACCACCGACCAGACAGCCCTTGGCGAGGCCCAGCAACCCTATTCCAGCTTCCAGCTTCCCTCCACCACCCACCTGGCCGCCAGATGCTTGAAGAAATCCGCAGCTCCCATCCGGAAACCCGGCGAGCTGAGGAGAAACAAGCACCATGAACCATCCAGCCCTGGGTGAGAACTATCCCTTACACCCCCAACTGTTCGAGTGCCAGTGACCCTCCTCACCACCACACCACCCACTCTTGCTCCAACTCGTATCCATCATCCACCCACCTGGCCGCCAGATGCTTGAAGAAATCCGCTGCTCCCATTCGAAAATCAGGCGAACCGAGGAGGAAACCACAGCTGGAGGGGAGGGGGGACGTGGGTGATGGGAGGGGAAAGAGGGGAAAACACTTCAAAATAACTCTTGAATTCCAAAACCCTGGAAACTCACACGTTCAGCAAGCCGGCAAAGCGGAGATCAGGCACAGGCGCACAATCCGCATACGCCCCCGGTGCTGCCAGGCCCGCTGTCACATGAGCAGCCACTCTAGATATAAACCTCAACATCCGCAGGTCATACGCATGCAGCAAGCCAGCAGCGGCAAGAGCAGGCTCAGGCGCCAGCTCAGCATACACCCCTAGCGCTGCCAGCCCCCCTGTCACTCCTCACACACAGTGAACTTGAAACCCTAAACCCGAAAACCTGGACGCTCTCGCATTGAGCAAGCCAGCGGATGCAATCGCAGGCACAGGCGCCCACGCTGCATACGCCCCCAGCGCTGCCAGGGCGGCGGTCACAAGAACACCCAACCTACATACCCCAAAACCTCAAACCCTGAAACTCGCGCATTGAGCAGGCGAGTGGATGCAATTGCAGGTACATGCGCCCACTCTGCATACGCCCCCAGCGCTGCCAAGCCTGCTGTCACAAGAACACCCAACCTACACACCTGAAAACCTCAAACCCTAAAACTCACGCATTGAGCAAGCCAGCGGATGCAATTGCAGGCACAGGCGCCCATTCTGCATACGCCCCCAGTGCTGCCAAGCCTGCTGTCACGGCTGCTGCATGCTGCCTTGCTGCGTCCACGTTGCTCTGCTGCATGTCTGCCAGTGCTGCTGCGAAGTTAGAGTCCAGAAGCTGCAGAGGAATGCGACGAGGGGTGGGGAAAAAGCCAGGATTGCAGGGAAGCACTGGGTATCAAGAGGTGCTTGAGCGGACAAGACCCACTGTCTCGTCACTGCCTTGCAGCTTCACGTTGCTCTGCTGCATGTCCGCCAGTGCTGCTGCGAAGTTAGAGTCCAGAAGCTGCAGAGGAACGCGACGAGGGGTGTGGAAAAAGCCAGGGTTGCAGGGAAGCACTGGGTATGAAGAGGTGCTTGAACTTCCAAGCCTGCAGTCACGGCTGCTGCTGTGCAGCTTCACCTGGATCTGCTGCATGTCTGCAAGCGCTGCTGTGAAGCTGGAGCCCAGAAGCTGCAGTGAATGGCAATTTTTGGGACGTCTGAAAAATAACCTATCTACACGTGGCTTCACCTGGATCTGCTGCATGTCTGCAAGCGCTGCTGCGAAGTTGGAGCCCAGAAGCTGCAGTGAATGGCAAGGGTTGCTAGATCAGAACAACTAGCCTCAGGATGAGTGGAAACGCAATTTACTGGGAAAGGTGGGCAAAGCAAAGCACGGACCGAGTAGAGGAAGGGGAGGATTTGCGGCAGAGTCGCTGTAAGGCCGAGAAGCAGCTGACGCCTCCTGTTGCCTGGTGGAAGGGGGCGGGTGTGGTGATGGTGGGAGAACAGAACAGAGGAAGTGGATGAAATTTGACGACAGAGGATGGGGGTGATCAGAGGGTCACAGTTTCGACCTATCCTACTTCTCATGTTTTCCAAGGCAGAAAGGTTAGAAAAGAGTTGATAACAGGGGGGAACATGCGCTTCCTTGCACTGAACGAAGAAGGGAAGGAGGGTACGGCTGCACACTTGTCTTCTATATCCCTCCTATTGACAATGTTACTATAGTCGTTGTAGACGAGTTTTGAGACGTCTCAAAACTTGCACACTTGTTTCCTTTTATATCCTTGCTATTGATAATGTCACTATCCTCGTTGTAGACAGTCACTTGCTCGTATGCTCTATCACCTTCTATATCCTCGTTATGGACTGTCACATCTTCTGGTACAAACTGCAGCACAAGAGCCACCGTCTCTGCCTGCCCAGCCAGCCAAGGGGGGGAAGTCAAGAGAACAGTGGTAGGGGTAGGGGTTATTAGTGAAAATCAATGTGAGGGCACACGAAGTGTGCATGTGGTGGGGGGGGGGACTTTGAGACGTCTCAAAAGTAGACGACTTTTGAGACGTCTAAAACGAAAATCAATGTGAGGGCATGCGAAGTGTGCATGTGACGGGGGAAGGGAGGGTTGTGGGGCGTAGAATGGGGGGTGTGGGGTGTGGGAAGGGAAGAAGAGTGAGGTAGTATCACTGAACAGGTGTCAGAAAAAGAAGTGGCAGCAGCAAAAGAGCAGAGTAAGAAAAAAAATCAACTCACTTATGTAACCCAGCCCCACCTTCCCCCACCCTCTCCCTCCCATTCCTTCCCTCCCCCCTCTCGCCTGACTGACATGGACGGGACTGGCAGCAGAGAGAGCGAGCAGAGACGGCAGCATCTCCTTCCACAGGTCCGACCCCTCGTGCTTCACAATCTGAGACAGTGGGGGAGAAAAGACGGAGGAAACGGGGAGGTAATGGGGTGGAGAAGGGGATGAATCGTCTTTACACAGGAAAGAAACTCTTTGCATGAGTCCAAATCTTCATGATTCACCACCAGCAGGAGTGGGGTAGGAGAGAGAAGGCTAAGCAAGTCCTCGAAAGGTTAAGCAGCAGCAGCAGCAGCAGCAGCAGCACAAACACCAGCACCAGGAATAGCACAAGCACCGCCAGAACGACTCACATCAGCCAGGAGGGCAGCCGCCTTGCTGCGGATGGACCAGGGCTCCCCAGCAGTGTCGGCACAGCGCCTGGGCAGATCAAAGTTCAAACGCGTACACTGCCAGCCCAGCCTCGCCAGAAGCATAAGGTCACAGCAACACGCGACTCACATCGGCCAGAAGTGCAGCCGCCTTGCTGCGGATGGACCAGGGCTCCCCAGCAGTGTCGGCGCAGCACCTGAGCAGATCAAACGCGTAAACTGGCAGCCCAGCCTCACCAGAAGCATAAACTCACAGCGACAAGCGACTCACTCACATCAGCCAGCAGTGCGGCCGCTTTGCTGCGGATGGACCAGGGCTCGCCAGCAGTGTCGGCGCAGCACCTGAGCAGATCAAACGCGTAAACTGGCAGCCCAGCCTCACCAGAAGCATAAACTCACAGCGACAAGCGACTCACTCACATCAGCCAGCAGTGCGGCCGCTTTGCTGCGGATGGACCAGGGCTCGCCAGCAGTGTCGGCACAGCGCCTGAGCAGGTCAAACGCGTACACTGCCAGCTTGCGCCGCTCGTCCGCGGGGAACTGCTGCCACTTGTTGCGCGCCACGTTCTTATAAGGGGGGGGGAAAGGAGGGGAGAGGGGGGGAGAGACGGGGTTCAGGTGGGAGGAAGGAAAAGAGAGTAGATACTTGAGGGTATTGGGTAATGGGTGATGGGACATGGGTAATTGGTCATGGGTCATGCGGGGTCATGGGGCCATGATTCACGAATCATGGTTCATGTCATAGGCCATGGGGCATGAGCATGGTTCATGGCTCATGGGTCATGGGCATGGTTCATGGGTCATGGGCATGGTTCATGGGTCATGGGCATGGTTCATGGGTCATGGGCATGGTTCATGGGTCATTGGCCATGGGCCATGGTTCATGGGCCGGGTCATGGTTGATAGCTCAAGTGTGATGGGAAATGGGTCATGGGTCATGGGTCATGGGTCATGGGTCATGGTTCATGGGTCATGGGTCATGGGTCAAGGGTCATGGTTCATGGGCCATGAGTACCGGGTAATGGGTAATGGGAAATGGGGCGGCGGCATACCTGCAGCAGCTGGAAGGCGAAGAGGCGGGCATGCTCAGGCTGATCGCCGTTCACCAGGTGGGCTGCTAGCGACGCCTGACGGTGCGGCTCCTCCTCTGTCTTGAGCTGTGCGCGTGGAAAGGAGGGTTCAGGGATTGAAGAGGTGGCAGGCAATGTGATTAGGCTGCGTGTGTTGCTCAACCAAGTGACCTGGCATGCTCGGGCTGATCGCCGTTCACCAGGTGGGCTGCTAGCGACGCCTGACGGTGCGGCTCCTCCTCTGCCTTGAGCTGTGTGCGTGGAAAGGGAGTTCAGAGAAAGAAGGGGTGGCAGAGAACGTGAGCTGGATTCGTGAGTTTCTGGCCCAAGTGATTCGGCCTAACCAAACCCTGTGCTCTGGCCTGACTGACCAAGCGATGGAAAGTCCGTGGGCTATTGAGGCAGGAAGGAACGCATTGGCTGCGAAACAGCCTGCAGGACCAGGAGTGCCGTTTCTGGTCAGAATCTTCGGGCATAAGTATCAAGAGGAGCAGCACCGTCGGATGAGAAGGCTACAGTCAGGATCTGGTTGCTCAGCAGGTAACGTGACCGTGTCTATTTCTGAGCACATAAGGCCACAGTTTCCAGGAATTCCAGGAGAACTTTGAGTCAACTCAAATCGTCCACTGAACAGCAATGATCACCTTTTCGAGGAATTCCGTGGCCGCAGCACGAGACGCCTGATCCGTCCGCCAATCAACGGCGACAGCGAGGGCCTGCAGCACCGCCTGGAGCTCTGTCGCCTCGTCCATTGCCGTATCCCCGCTAAAAGCCGATCCTTGTATAAACGTAAGACAAATCGGCTGTATGCAAGTGCGCGCAGCACTGTCTAACACGCTGCCGCTTCGCCCATTTCGGATGTTACTAAATGATTTCACCGTTCGCTATCACCACCCCGAATTCGGCGTTATTTCTGCATTTCCTTATCACCGGACCGAAAGCGGCCTTATTGCGACTCTGGGACAACGAGCCGGATTCAGAATCTAATGCCGATTCCTCTGAGATTCAAACTGCCCCTGTGAAGTAAAGCACTTGCCGACTTCGGCTAGCAAGAGCTGAGAGAATCACTACCAGCTTTCATCGAATCCTGCACCACTTACATGGCCCTGGGAATCTCTAGAACGCAGAGAATCCTCGACCATCTGGCAGCACAGCAGGCAGGAACCCTGAACCTGAATGCCTCGGTTCTGCCGAATTTGTTCCTAGTGTACCATTCGGGTTATTATTTGTTTTACCAAAGATACGCCCTTACAAATGTGAAGGCCGTCTGCGATAATAGACCCAGTGCATACAATATGTGATAATAACCAGTGGCATTTTAGACCAACAAGGTGACACGAGGAATTTCATCATTTTTGATGTGACGGGGAAGGACGAATTCAACTACATAAGAAATGTGGCAATTTGCCAGGCCTGTACTGGAAATCCTAGTTTGAGGCACCTTGATGTGACAGCGAAAAATGCCACCTATCCACAAATTTTAACCTATAATTTGATTTTAGATTCTCTAAACTATCTAGAGAAATCTGTAATTTATCAGTCACTTATCTAAGCTATTTTATCCTTGATACTTATACTCGTGTCCTGTTGGCATGTACCTGGAACCCCCTAAATTGATATCGGGCATCGTTTAGAGCAGATCACATGGCGTGAATGGGAAGCAACACAGGCTCCGTCTGCCATAAGATGTCGCCGTCAAGTTCGCCAACGTCGAAAGAACCGCCTGGGCTGGGCGTTCTCCTCTCACTTCACCCTATCCGTCTCTCTGTGATTGGTGGTTTTGCTCATGGCATGTCAAAACCCGTGTCGCCACGTCGTTATCTCACGCCTTCCATACCTAGCTCGAGGCTGTATACTAGCCAAACCTGCGCTTTGGTTGCGGGATTTCTTGTTCGGGCTGTGGTGTCTCTCTCGGTCGGTTCGGACAGCCTAGAATTTGTCTGTGTGTGGTGACATCAGTGTTCCCCACACCGCATCGAACCCTCCCTAATTCCGTGGGAAAATGTCAATAACGAACGGGATTTTCGCCCTCTTCTAGCTGGCTGCCTCCAAGCCTGGAACTGCCAGCAAAAGCCAAGCCATCGTACATATCAAACCGAACATAATTGTCCACCCGAACCGTGCTTCCTGGTTTGCCGCAGCCACCCGAGCCGAGAGTGAGGGCAAACCAAAATGGAAGACAGGAAGGGATGAATGAGCATTGAGCAGACAGACAGAGAACCCTAGGAGGAAGAGATAAGGGCGACGTCAGGTTATACATTTCACATGGGTTTACAGTTCTTGTATCGTGGCTCAAGACGGTCCAAAACGGTGGAAAGAGGTTCTTGACGTTTATCGCTCTGCACCGTGTTGAAACGAAGTTAACCGCAGTGTGAGTACAAAAAGTTGTACAACCTGACGTCGCCCTAGAAGCCATTCGCCAGTGCTGCTACTCCCCTTCCAGTTTGCCCTTTCAAGTTCAAGTTCAGGTTCAAGCTTGATATATCTGAGGCACTGGAGTGAGCTTCAAGTGCTTTTGAGTATTTCTGTCTTCTTGCTTCCCCTTGTGAATCCGCAGTGTTCGTTTATCTTTCTGAGCTATTTGCGACCGTAAATGAAGTAGAAAGTTTTGACACTTCCAACGAAATCAGCGACGTCCCTGAATGGAGGCTGCACTAACTCACTTACGGGAGCTGTTTCCCAAGGTGGACGTCAGGCTTCTGAAGGCGGCGATTCGCGAGCATGGCACGTCGCCGGAAGCCATGGACGAGGTGGTTCAGTACCTCATGGACGAAGCGCTTTCGGATTCCTCGTCTTCCGACGGAGAAATTTCGGACAAGGAGGACGATGTCGAGAATATTAATACGGTAAGTGATTTCGTTCCGGTCTGCTAGGCCGGCTTCATTTGTTCCGTTCTCCTCGTTCTCCCTATTATTCTGTTTCCTAGTGTATGTTAGCCGAAAGTTAATTTGGTTATTCCCCTTGCAGGATTCTGCCGGGTTTGCACCATTAGGGGTTACTGATAGACACGAATCTTCGTCCCCCATTGACGCAAAGTCTTTTGACGAGACCGCCGATAACGAGGATCCATCTGGCGAAGCCGTTAACGAGGAGTCTTTTTTTGAAGCCGAGGAGAATCTCCCCGCGTCAAGAGCTTCTCTGCAAGACTCAGCGGCTTCCAGCGACGATAAGATCATCCTCGGCTTGTCGGAAATACCGGTGATGACAGTTCTGCCAGCGTCCTCAAACTTGTACAGTGAAAATAGTGTCGGTGAGGAGGGAGAGAAACACGATGAGCAGGACCTTTCCGCCCTCGTCGCTACTGGCCAAGGTCCAGACAACATCAGCACCATCGGCACCATCGATACCACCAGCACCATCGATACTACCGGCACCATCGGCGCCACTGGCGAAAGATCAGCAGACTCGTTAGAAGCACCTCTGACGGCTTCTTCCGATAGCGAAGATTTTGGAGAACTCATGGCGGGAAGTGCACCGCCGTTGGATGCGACACTGGAAGAATCTGTGGACGGCGCAGATCTGGTTTATGAGAATCTGAAAGAAGACGCTATTAACGGTGATAAGGCTGATGGTGGCCAAGTCGAGGGTGACTCTATCGAGGGTGCTGATGCTGACGTACGCGAGGCTGGAGTTGTGATTAAAGCGGGGGCGAAATTGTTTGCGGATGCTGCTGATGCGGCCGGCGCTTCTGGTTCTACTGATGGGACCGAAGAGGAAGAGGAGAAAGCGGAGGTGGAGAAAGCGGTCGTTGTGAATGAACCCGAGGGTGAACCGGAGAGTGAACCGGAGAGTGAACCCCAACAGGCGGACGGAGAGAACATGGGCGGTGCTGGGGTGGGTCGAGAAGAGATTCAGGGCGAGCCCGAGCAGGCCACGCACAAAGCAGAACCTGTAGTGGAGAAAGGGGAGGAGAGGGACGAGGCTGTAGCTGTGCAAGAGGAGAGCAAGGGAGAGGAGGTCAGGATGGAGGAAGTTTTGAAGGAAGGAGAGGAAGCAACGGAGGGAAAGCAAGAGAAACGAGCGGATGAGCGCGAGAAGGAAGAGAAAGATGAGGGGCAAAAGGAGCGGGAAGAGGAGGAGGAAGAGTGCGAGCATGTGGAGGTACCAGAGAGCCTAGTGAACAGCTGGAGCCGGTCCTTCGTGGAGGTCGAAGTCAGCACCATTGCCCACCACGTGGCCTCCACCAGAGACGCCAAATCCCGCCTCGACGCCCAGCTAGCGTCCATTCAGACGCTCCTGTCGGAGGTGGAGCGCGCCGAGCAGCAGGCAGCCGCAGCTGAAACCGCTCTGTCCCATGCTGGCGAGGCTGACGTTGCCGAAGCTGAGAATGTGCTTCGGCACGTGGTTCGGTCACAGCAGGCGCTGGAGATCCGCGCGGCGCAGGTGTTTGGGCACCGGGCGCAGCTGCAGGAGGATTCGCAGGGGCTTAAATCCCGGGTCGAGGCGATTCAGGGTCAATTCGCGGAGGTGGAGAGGCAGGTGGAGGAGTTGAGAGCGGTGCTGGAGAAGAGGTTGGAGCGAGCTAGGGAGAGGATTGGTGAGTTGGAGAAGAGGAGGAGGGAGAGGGAGGAGGGAGGGAGGAAGAAACTGAAAGGGGCAGAAAGGGAGATGGGGCGGGTGCTGGGGGAGGTGCCGGGGCTGGAGAGGCAGGAGCGGGCGTGTGATGAGCTGGCAGATGCACTGGTGGCACGTCACCACGAGGCTGATGTGTTGGAGGGACAGCTGGCGGTTCTGCGGGAGGACCTGGCGGCGCTGGTGAGGGGCGTGGGACGGCTGCCCGGGCTGCCTGGGGAGGCAGTGGAAGACCTGGGATACTCGTTTTTGAGTGAAGAAGGAAAGGAAACTCGTGAAGGTGAGTGGTGTGCATGGGGACTGTGATGTTTGTAGCGAGGTAGTGAAGGGCGTGGGGCAGCTGTCTGGGCTGCCTGGAGAGGCAGCGGAGGATCTGGGGTACTCGTTTCTTACTGAGGGAGGAGAGGAAGACGGTGCAGGTGAGTGGAGTTGAGGGGCCTGTGATGTTTGTGGTTAGTAGTGCGGGGCGTGAGGCAGCTGCCAGGGCTGCCAGGGCTGCCTGGGCTGCGTTGGCTGCTTGGGTACTCAAAGGATGACTGGGCTTAATCATTACTGTGTGTTGTTTGGTGGCGGTTTTGGAAACATGTGCGTTCTGTGTGGCCTGCACATGCCCCAATCCATCCGCGTGTTTATGTCTCCTCATGCTGCTCTCTCTATGTGTCCTCTTCTCTTTCCTTTCCATCCCGATCTCTTTTTCTGTTCAATCAGGCCAGAGGCAGGAATCTTATCATTCTCTGCACGAGGATCTCTCACAAGCATCAGGATCATCAGCAACAGCAGCGTCTGCACCGGACGCCATTATGCCTGCCGTACAGGCCGCTCCCATCACAGGTCGCACAGGTGAAGGCCAGAGTAACCTTGTTGCTGGAGTATTGGGGTTGAAGCAGCAGCAGCAGCTGCAGGTCCCATTACAGGTTGCTGGAGTATTGGGGTTGCCCAACGCCTCTAGCCCTGCTTCGGTGGGTGACTTGAATGCAACTGCTGTTCCTGCAACATCTAATGCTGGTGCCCCTGACGCTGGCACTGCTGGTGCTGCCGCTGGTGGTGCTGCCGCTCTGTACTCAGAGCTGTGCAGTGCCCAAAACCTCGGCACATCCCCTGCTGCCGCCGCTGGGGTCAACGCCCTTTCTGGTGACTCTTCGTTCAGCAACACCACTCCTGCTGCTGTCGAGACCGCATTCAACATCCCCACGGCTTCTCCCTTCGAAGATGAGGACCAATTCGAGGCGAAGATGCGTGAAATGTCCAGCATGCTCAAGGAAACGCTCCCTGTTTCCCGCTCCCGGTTCCACCAGCAGCAGCAGCAGCAGCAGCAGCAGCAGCAGCAGCAGCAGCAGCCCCAGCTGCAGTCACAACAGCAGCAGGCAGGTGTGGTAAGCGGGTTGACTGATAACAACACTGGAGTGGAAGGCGTGACGATGATTGAAGACGGTGACTGGAGCGTGCTGGAAGCTTCTGATCTGCTCACAGCGTCAGTGCTAGGTAATGGGGTTGGTGATGGTGCTGGTGGGGCATTGGGAGGTGCTGATGATGAGGCGCGGTGGTCGGGGCACAGCTCGTTCAGTGTGCATGCTGGCAGCACTCCTCGGGCGAGGGAGGGCGGGGTTGTGAGGGGTGAGAGTGGCAAGATCAGTGAGGTGATGGAGCGGTATTTTGGCAGCAGTGAGTAAAGAGACGGCAGAGCGGCAGCGGCATGATGAGGCGCGGTGGTCGGGGCACAGCTCGTTTAGTGTGCATGCTGGCAGCACTCCCCGGGGCAGGGATGGAGGGGAGATCAGTGAAGTGATGGAACGATACTTTGGTGGCAGCGAGTAAGGGGGGGAGGAGCAGCAGTGGCAGTTGCAGCAGCAGTGTGGGTGAGGATGAGGCACGGTGGTCGGGGCACAGTTCGTTCAGAGTGCATGCTGGCAGCACTCCCCGGGGCAGGGATGGAGGTGCTTGGAGGGGCGAGAGCGGAGAGATGTGTGAGGTTATGGAGCGATACTTTGGCAGTAGTGAGTAGAGAGGGAGACTGGCCACAGGTGTGTGTGTGTAGATGCAGCTTCTTTAAGGGTTCTCGAAGAAAGTTCAGCAGTGCAGACAGGAGGAAGCTGAGAGGAGGATGGTGACTATGCCCTTGCTAGGGACATGGGTCTGTGTACATAGTTTCTGTGCGGCAAGGTGTAGACAACTGAGACTCTGTCTATTGCATTGCATTTTAGTTCTTGTAAAAACCACTGGTGCCTCATTTCAATTGATGTAATACGTACACATAGCATAGAGAAACACAGCACATGTCCAAGAGCTAGTAAATGGTTCAGCGTGTTGGAACTGTGACAAACTCACATCCGCAACTCACAAGGAAGCACCTCTCCCCTCTCTTGCCGATGTGGAATACCGTATCACCCCGAATATAAGTACAGGTGCGGTTATAATAAAACAGTGATTTTTAGGGGGGGTGCCGGTAGTTGGGTCAGATTTATGAACGCATGTGCTTATAAAATGACAATTACAGAAATATGTTTTAAAGTCACCAAATTGTGCATCTCAGTCGTGCAATTTCAATCAAATCGAAACATTAGAGAGTCCCAAATCAGAGAATCGCACGAGGGCGATTTCTGCTGCCGCACAAGAGCGAGGACACGTCACTTCATAGAGGGATGTGTCAAGCTCGCCCCGAACCAATGTACGAGCCAGACGCACGGAGTCGCTTGCTCGCAGTGCAGAGGCAGTGTCGCTCCCGAGTCCCCCCGCCCGCCCCTTTTTCGCTCGCACAACGTACAGGACAGTCGTTTCCAGCGCCCCTCTTCCCTCCCCCCCCCCCCCCTCTCAACGATGTGCTCTCAGTCAGTCAGCTTCGCGCCGTTTCGCTTCTCCTGCGAATCGCTTGTTAGAATGGACTAATCTACTAGCGGGAGCTTTAGTAGTCTTAGAACCTCCTCCTAAAGCCTAGGAATCTTATGAGCCCACTTAGGCATAAACCATGCTAGAACAAAAATTATAATTTTTAAACACACATGTAGTGTTTTTTAAAATTGTGTATTGTGAAAGCGAAGCTGCTTGTACTGCACAATTGGCATCGTCGAAGCGCGCTAAACGCCCTTCTCCAACTACAAAAACCGTGGGTTGGAGCTCATTTCCCTCCACCCACGTTTCTCAATTTTCAAACGGCTCACTCAACATTTTCCGCTCGAGTAGTTTTTCCCTCCAAGCTGGCTAGGATTAAATCGCTTCCTAGAGGCGAGTCACCCTCTACTTTACTCAGCGACATTTTCAACTTCAATCGCTCAACGATGGCACCTACGCCGACACTTAACAACGGGAACTCGTCAACCCCCGCTTCCGACTCCGACCGTAACGCCCGCGATTCTGCGGGCGAACGCCGTAACAAGCGTCGGGCAGAAGACGGACCTTCCGCCCCGACTGCAGTGGACGTGCTGCTGGGCGGGCTCGAGGTCCACAAAAACGCCGAAACCCAGCAGCACCCTTCGGTCCCTGTGGCGCCAGTGGCGCCTGTGGCGCCAGTGGCACCTGTGGCGCAAGTGGCGACGGGGACTGGCGCGGCACACGCGACTGACGCCGAGCACACGCCAGCACCCGCTGCTGGACCGTCGCGTCAGCGTCAGAGGAGGCGGACTGCAGTCTCCTCGTCTGACGCGACCGCCGCCCCTGCGCTGACGCAGGCGTTGACCCCGGACCAGGTCAACGCGCTGCTGTCCCTTCTACAGCAGCAACCCGTCAGCGTTACAGCCGCGGAAACTGCACTACCCGCCGCATCTGCGTCGGCTAAAAAAGAAACTGCAAAAAAGGAGAAAGGCACACGGGGAGCACGGACGAACCGGCATGACAACGACGCAGCGACTGCCGCTCTCCCTGCTCCAGCGGTCGACAACGACACCGACGACTCTGAAGATGAAGCCGGTGAGGCTCCAGTCAACAATGTTAATTTTATTGGCACGGAAAACCTTCCCCCCCTCCCTTCTTCTAATCTTACCTTCTCGGCGGCAACCTTCGTCAACGACTCCGTGCGAGAGCAAGCGGAGCTACTGGAGGACCTGCGGGCATACCTGCTGCACGCCGAATACAAGGCGCAGCGCGGTGATCCGGCGGGCGGACTCGAACTCATCTCACACGCTCTCAACCTCATCGCGGGGCGTTTCGAGGTGCTTCAAGTGGAGGACGCCTCCGACTTTCGCACGGCGAAGCGCTTTAAGCTGTACCAGCAGAAGAGCCTGCTGACTTCTCGACCCTTCAAGCAGGCGGTCGCGGACATGGCGGCGATGGACCGTGCGGCAAGCGGATACGCTCGTGTCAACCGCGGCGGAAACAACGGGCCGATGCCGTTCTTACCCAAGCGAGGCCCCCCGCCCACGGCCAATTGCCGTGGGTTCCGGGGCTCATGCTTCCGCTGCGGCCAGCCGGGCCACGTGGCAAGTGCCTGCCCTCGGAACGGGCATGGAGGCCAGGGACCCGCTCCGGTGGTGTAGGAGCGGGCCATGAGACTAGGCGCTTGGGCGCTAGGCACGGTGCACTCTTGAGTGCGAAAACCGTGGGCAACCCTAGGGGTTTGCGATGGCAAGAGGCCAGCCCTAGTAAAGGGTGGGATAGGCTTGGGCCTAGGATAGGGAAGGGGAACAACAACCCCTCGGTCCCATATGTTGGCCACTTGGTGGCATGCTAGGAAAGCATTGCTATGTGTGTTGGTTGATTTAATAAAAACTACCTTCCTAAAGGCCTATGGTTTTGGCAAAGAGACTATGAAAATCAAGAGGAGGAGCAGAGAGAGAGAGAGAGAGAGAGAGAGAGAGAGAGAGAGAGAGAGAGAGAGAGAGAGAGAGAGAGAGAGAGAGAGAGAGAGAGAGAGAGGGAGAGAGAGAGAGAGAGAGAAAGAGAGAGAGAGAGAAGAGAGAGAGAGAGAGAGAGAGAGAGAGAGAGAGAGAGGGAGAGAGAGAGAGAGAGAGAGAGAGAGAGATAAGAGAGAATGAGAGAAAGCACAATGGACAACGGTGTCCATGGCCCTAGGCATCAGCCCCTACGCACTAAGGGCAGGCACAACCATGTCCTACCAAGTGGACGACGGGGCAAGAAAAAAAAAAAAAAAAAAAAGGGGAAACGAGGAGAAGAAGAGACATGCGTTGACATGCGTTAACATTACCGACACATTCGTTGACATTTCATTCAATTGTTCATTCTCTTCACACCTTCGATCAATGGTTGCCCGTACAAGTACATGCACACGCATGCTTTAACGTGGAATACTCAAAGCTTATACCACTTGGCCTCAAATGTACAGGAGCACGACGGTGCGAGGCGGCATGCCACGACGATCCGTACGAATTTGCCGTTACAGACAGAACTATTACACACATGCGCGGTCGTCTTCGCGCGACATTTGCGTGGTGGAGCTCATGGTGCCCCAGCAGCCTTGTCCTCTCCGTCATCGCCAAGGGTTACTGGTTGCCATGGAGCCACGGCCCACCGCAACATTTCCACGATCGCAATCATGTCGGGGCAAACACGCATGCCACGTTCACACGTACCACCATCCAAGAACTCATAGAGACGGGAGCGGCAATTCCGATGGCCGCAACGGAGCTTACATGCATAAGTCCACTCAACGTGGTCGAGCAAAAAGACAAATGCAGGCTCATTCTTGATCTGAGGAAAGTCAACGCCAACTTGATCATCCCCAAGTTCAAGTACGAAGGGCTCAGCCGCGTCGCCGACCTTGCGCGCGTTGGGGACTGGATGTTCTCCATTGACCTCAAATCTGGTTACCACCACATCGACATCCACCCATTGTGCTGGAAGTTCCTTGGCTTTGAATTTGATAAGCGCACATACGCATTCCGTTCACTACCATTTGGCCTCGCGACAGCTCCATTCGTTTTCACGCAGCTCATCAAGCAACTAGCTCGGCGTTGGCGAGAACAAGGCATCCGAGTCGTACCTTACGTGGACGACATCTTATTTCTCTGCCAGTCGAAAGAGGACGCGCAAGCAACTTGCCAGCGGGTGACATTGGATCTTAAAGAGGCAGGCCTTGTGATAAACGCGAAGAAATCACAACTGTCACCATCGCAGCGTCTCCGATTCCTGGGCGTAGAACTCGAGACCGATACCGGCCGATTCTCCATCGGTCTGGACCGACGAGCCTCACTACATGCAACCATCCGGAACCTCCTGAGCGCAAGCAAGGCATGCCGACCAGTCCCGGTCCGCCACGTGGCCAGAATCACTGGCATGCTCGCATCGATGGGTGTCGCACTTGGCGCGACAGCTCGCGCATTCAGCCATGCTATGTTACAAGTGATCGACGACGCACCGTCATGGAAAAGCAGCGTCGTTATCCCCCCATCTGCAGCAGAAGAGCTCCAATTTTGGCTCGAGGAGTTCGACCGTTTCAACGGCGCACCTTTTCACGTCAAGAACAGCTACGACGCGGTAATCCACGTGGATGCCAACTCTCATGGTTGGGGCGCCACTCTGACCACATTTCCGGGTGGCATCGAAGAAGCTAGCGCAACCATGTCAGAGCCGCTACGAGGAACGTCCAGCACGCGACGGGAGATCGAAGGCGTCCTTTGGGCGCTACAAACGTACGCGAACAAGATCAAGCAAAAACACGTTCTCGTGCGGGTGGACAACCAGGGCGTATTCTTCATCCTTCGCAAAGGCGGCTCTCACAGCC